AGACATTAACTGTTGTTATTTTACTATTTCTTATTGCTCTCACAGGATAATAGGTAGAGCTTTTAGGTGTATGCAAATCATCCATCTTAGCAGAAGTAGGCCCTTTTTATCACCAGGGCAGTACAAACAAGCTCACTGGCCCTTGTGGAAGGGATAAGAGTCCTGTTATCTCTTGTAAACAGCTTTTCTGCAACTTTGGGATACACCTCAACCAAAAGCTTCTGCCTCTGCATTTTATTCCTGCTTTGCAATGCTCATGCAATAAAAGTCAAATATGAAAGAGTCAAGTTTTTAAGCCAACCATGATCCTCTTTAAGTCCCACTTTAGCCAAACACATTTTAACTGCATGTAATTCTCTGGAATTCCTTCTAGTGTTTACTCCTATGAGTTCTTTGCGCACTGGAAAGAACAAAAGTATTGTATAGTAATCAAGTAAAGTCTTAGATCATAGAATCATAGAATAGAATCGATTGGGTTGGAAAAGACCTCCGAGATCATCGAGTCCAACCCTTGGTCCAAATCCAGTCCATTTACTAGATCATGGCACTCAGTGCCACGTCCAATCTGCGTTTAAAAATCTCCAGGGATGGTGAATCCACCACCTCTCCGGGTAGCCCATTCCAATGCCTGATTACTCTCTCTGTAAAGAATTTTCTCCTGATATCCAACTTAAATTTCCCCTGGCGGAGCTTAAGCCCGTGCCCCCTTGTCCTATTGCTGAGTGCCTGAGAGAAGAGACCACCCCCCACCTGGCTAGAACTTCCCTTCAGGTAGTTATAGACGGTGATGAGGTCACCTCTGAGCCTCCTCTTCTCCAGGCTAAACAACCCCAGCTCCCTCAGCCTCTCCCCATAGGACTTATGCTCCAGTCCCTTCACCAGCCTTGTTGCTCTTCTCTGGACCCGCTCCAGCACCTCAATATCCTTGCTGAACTGAGGGGCCCAGAACTGAACACAATACTCAAGGTGTGGCCTCACCAACGCAGAGTACAGGGGAAGGATCACTTCCCTGCTCCTGCTGGCCACGCTATTTTTGATACAGAACAAGATCCCATTGGCCTTCTTGGCCACCTGGGCACACTGTTGGCTCATGTTGAGCTTCCTGTCAATTAGTACCCCCAGGTCCCTTTCTGCCTGGCTGCTTTCCAGCCACTCTGTACCCAGCCTGTAGCGCTGCAGGGGGTTGTTGTGGCCAAAGTGCAGGACCCAGCACTTGGCTTTATTGAACTTCATCCCGTTGGAATCAGCCCATAACAAAGTCTGTAAGCTTTCAAATGGAAAAACAATGCAATTACTTCAGCAAGAGGCACTGTAATATTGACTAAACTAAACCATCATCTACCTATAATCTGTGACTGGTTTTTGTCCATTTCCACTTGCTCTTCTGGTGGACATCTTAGTGTTTCCTGTAATAGATTTTAAGTGGTGCCTTAGTGACTTTGTTTTCCCCACATTTGTAAGAAATCAGGTAAGAGGCTGGTGGGGGTGATATGGATCCACTCAAGACAATCTCATAATTGCTGTCCCAGGAGTTGCAAAACCCACTTGCTGTTAGTTCCCTCTTTAAGGTGAAGGCTATTTAAGGACTGCATGGACAAACTGCATTTACTTGGTTGAGCTTTCAACTTGAGGAGAGGTAGGGGATCTACTGACTTAAAGAATTAAAGTTAGTGTTTAATGAAAAAACACTTCTACTGTGACACCACAGAAATGGGATAAATGTCAATGTTCTGAAAAAAACTTACTCAGCTCAAAGGCCAGGAGAACTAAGAAATGTTTCTGCTACAGTGTGCAGATGGGTTGCACCTTATCCTACCTCCCTGCTCTCTGTAGCTGTGTTCACAGCAAGAGCACACACCAAGAAGTAGCTTGAAGATTGGTGTGCACCCAGGTCATGCTCTGTAAATCCACATCATTGACTGGGGGATATTCATATCTCAAACTTCAATGAACTGAGCTCAGTCTCAGATAACATCAGCCTCTTCTAGGAGACATCCTGAACTTGATTTGAGCATTTGTCAGCCAACAAACATGTCCAAAGGGGATTTTATCATCCTAGAATCTTGAAACTCTGCCATAACTGTTCTCATTTATTTACATAGAGGTTGTGCTATGCCACCAACACCCTCTTTTTTCATCATTTGGAAAAATAGGATAAAAGCCCCAACAGCCATTTAAAAGACAAATACCTAAAGTTACTTAGTAGATCCAGGTGTGCAACAATATTTATAAAAGAACAATCTCACTTCTTCCATTGCAATTATAGCCATCGGGATTGGGATGAAGCTAATCAGGAGACACAAGGGAATTTCCTGAAGACCAGCAGGTCCAGTTGTGTACATTTTGATTGCCCTATGCAGCATCTGGATGGACACAGAAAGACTTTGAAATGAGATGTTGCAGGTGGCTGTTGCACATCACCTGAAAAACCTGTGTCAGAAACAAGACAATCAGGAAAAAAAAATGGGAATGACCAACAGCCATTGACATGGAAGTTGCTTCAGCTGGGAAATATATCAGACCAAAATGCAGGACCTACTAATTTTCTTCTGTGAACAAAGGTTTCAACTGTGCTCTAGGGCTGCAGGATCCAGCCCTTGTTTTCATGATTTAACAGGACAAACATGCCATATTCTCCACAGATGGCATGATCTAGGGCCCATGACCATCTGTAGAAGTTTAGCAATTTAGTAGGGAACTTCATTCATACACAAAACACCTAAAAAAAGTGGGAATAATCTCCTTTCCTTTAGATAATTTCCCCCAGAGAATTTCCTCTAGAGAAATGAAGCTATTTTTGTTTAGAGCTGTGTATACAGGGGACAGCGGTTACAGATCCTTGTCAGTGCCAAATGCTTCTCGTGATTTGATTTTCCCTTTTTTCTTGGAGAAATAACTCAGTGTTCATCAGATTTGGCAGAGAGGGGAGTCTACATGCTGTGAACATGCCTTTTTGCTGTCCTGTGAAAGTCTTATCAGGTTGGGATGAGCTACAAAGAGTCTCAAACTGTCGTTTTCAGTGCTCTGGTTAGAGCAGCATCTTGTCACAGTCACAGAGAACAACAATCCAAGGTTTAGCTGAGGAAAGCCAGGACTGTTTTCCTTGCCACCACAAGTGACTCAGGGTATGGATATTCATCCTTGGAGAGGCTTGAAGAGAATATCCAAAAGACCTGCCATTTCCTTAAGCAGTGCCCAGACCCAAATTTGATACATGTTAAAGCCCATTGTATCAGGCAAAAAGAGAGGGTACAAATCAGGCCAAACTGGGTTTTCCCAAAAAATCCAGTGAACAAAGTAGCTCAGCTCCACCCTCTGGATAAAACAACTTCTTTCTCCCTGGCAGCTGATGGTACCAGCCCTTTTTTGCTTAATGTTGGCAATATTTGAAGTTAATTGGTGACAGATTCCACCTTGTTCATGGTGAGAGAGAAATGTTTCATTTATTTAGAAGAAAAAAATACTGGAGTATAAAAATATTGAAACTGGTTCTCCAGAGTGCCTATTTGCATGCAAATCATCTGTACATATCTATGACCCAATGATCTGTGGCTGCTGGACATTGGTTCATCTCAGCAGGAAAACAGCTTAGTTACTATTTCTGGCCCAAAAAAAAAAAAAGAAAAAGACAGGCATGAATACTCTTTCGATATAAGTGGTGTGTCTGTGTGTTTATGTATCTGAATGCGATTTAAGATATAAAGTAATAAGCACAGAGAAAGTCCTGATTGAATGGAGCTGACCCATTTCAAATTTTAAACACTATTAAAAGGCACTTTCCCCAGTAAGATTTCAACAAGGAAACTTTTCCGTACCCCTGAGAGGACTTCAAATAAGAATTGCACATATGTCACGTGAGATCTTCACCAGGGAAAGCATTATGTAACTGAAAAACACAAGATATTTATGGCCGAACTATGGGTAAAAAACAATGAACTTTGCTCATGAGTTTGTTCTTTTTTAATCACTTCCTGTGCTAATGTAAGAGCTCACAGGTCCTCACAGTCAAACCTGGCTATCTGTCTTATCCTGTGGCACAGCAAGGATGAGCAACAGTATTTTAACAAAGCCCTGTTTCCTCTCTTTGAGCTGTTTGAATGAAATACAGCCTCTACAAAGAAAAAAAAACACGTATGTTCTTATTTTAGGTTTACCACTTGTTTGATTCTGTGATAGACTGGTGTGTTCTTGCTGAATAATTTGATTTCCCTTCCAAATGCACAGATTCATTTGCGAGGAGAAAACGCTGAGATAATTTTAAACTTAGTTTGGATTACTGCCTAATTCTACCATCATATTAGAAAACTGTGAATTGGACTTAGGAACAGAGAAAAAGCCATGGCACTGCCCTGTGCACCAGTACAGAGTTACCTTAAAAATAACTGAGTTCTTTAAATCTCATGTGAGCAGTTTTCCCAACAGTATCTCTCCAGGACAGCAGCCCAGTGGAACATCATCTCCAAGAATCTATATATTAAGCTGATTTTTATACCCAAGGACTGATACAGTGTTTTATTGCTGTACCCTGGCTCTACTGCTTCATCACCAATTAGTCTACTACTGCAATATCATCCCTTTTTTTATTAGGTACAATTTTCTATTAAATAAAGGCTCCTACTATACAATTTTGGCCCATCTTCTGACGAATGAAATAAGAGAGACCAAGTTACTCACCATCACATCAATATGACTCTTTATCCATGAAACTTTGAGGAGCCAAAACAAATTTTGACAAGTGATGTGACTCTCAAGAGCAAAAGATCATGCAACTGTGAGAAATAGAAACCCAATCGGGTGATTTCCAATCAGAATTTATTATATAATAAAAGCAACGCCGTGTTGATCCATAATATTTCCCTCCCATAGTGGGTGTGACGGTGTGTTCGTTCCTCTGTATCTCTTTTTTTTTTTTGCTGTATCACCCAGACCCACTGAATTAGGCAGCTCTGCTGGAGGCAAACGCCCATTATCAAGCTCTCCCAGCCCCCTGCTCTGCAGCAATGCCTTCAGCCTCGGACACCAACATGAGGTTCAAGTTCTCCATCCTAGCGCTCCTTCTGGAAGTGATCACCATTGTTTTGTTTGGGATATTTGTGGAGTATAAAATCGGTAGTGACTCTGACGCCTTATACCCACGTAAGTGTTGCTGTCTAAGAATTATTGAAGTTAGAATTTCTTTAAGCTAATCCTAGGCAAGATTTCTGAATAACTTAAGAGACCTGCTGATACAGATAGAAAATAAAGTCGTGCTTTGGGGCAAACAAATTTTTCTGAGGTGTGAAAGCAGCAGGCTTCAAAGATAAATTCAAGTTGAGCACATATAAAATTCTGTAAGTACCTAACTGCTGAGAATTTCACTGTTCTGGGAGAGAAGAGTCCTGAAAATAGTTCTAGTGTTTGCACAGCAGGTCAAAACTTGGAGAACTATGTATTGCTTTGAAAGATTCTAGCGTTTTCCAGAGATGGATGGGAGCGTTTCTTGCCAGAACTTCTATCCTGATAACTGTATTAAATAATTAAAATTATTAGAACATTAATCATCCAGGTTTTGAAAGGTTGTCTTATGAGAACATGGAAATTGGGCAGCATGTGCATCATCATTACAAAATGTTTGCAGAATACAGACTCCATGAAGGGCCATAGTTTTTGTGACAAGGTGGGTAACCCCCTGCTCTCTTCCAAAGCAGTAGCTCCGTTAGGCAATGATAGTTTAGCCTTCAAATGTTTCTGTTGATTTGTTGCTCTGCAAATGCTTGATGAAATGAAGGAGGAAGCTTTTTGGCCTGAGAAATAGTTGTTGACTTCTCTCACCCTCCTCTTCCTCATGCAAAGATAAGATTGTTGTGAATAAACAGAAAACAAAGTTTGCAGAGCTGCAGACTGTGTTTTCCTGGCAGTATTGAAGGTTTCTCATTCTTTTCCTTGGCTCTGATGCCTCAGTGACTTGCAGCCCTGATTTCAGTCCTCTTAATGAGGATCACAGAAGTACAAGTAGTACCCTTGTAATTTTGAATGCATCCCTCATTTTGTCTCATTCTAACTGTCCTTTCAGTGATTATTACAGGGGAATGTGATCTCAGGGTCTAGTCTTGTGTCATGTATTCTCACAGAGAGCATTGTCTGGCTGAAAGAACAGTAAATGCACAGCATTATTCAGCTCCAGATGCAAGTCAGCTGATGAAAATCAGGAGCTAATCACTCACATTTGGGTTAACTCCACTGAAATGCAGCAGTATCCCTGAGATACAGGGACTTAGGCTATGCCAGAGCCCATTCCATTTCTGTGATACAGCTTGGCCACATCAATGATAATCACAGAGTCAGAGAATGGTTTGGGTTGGAAGGGAGTTTGAAGATTATCTCATTCCAACCCCCCTTCCATGGGCAGGGACACCTTCCACTATCCCATGTGGCTCCAAGCCCTGTCCAACCTGGCCTTAAAGACTTCCACAGATGGGGCAGCCACAGCTTCTCTGGGCAACCTGTGCCAGGATCTCACCACTCTCAGAATAGAGAATTTCCTCCTTTATTATCTGCCTGTTTAGAAAGTCATTCTCCCTCTTTTTCATAGCCCCTTTAAGTACTGGAAGGTGCTCTGAGGTGTCCCCAGAGCTTTCTATTCTCCAGGCTGAACAACCCCAGCTCTCTTAGCTGAGGTCATATCAAACTATCCCAATTGTATTGAACTACCCAAGTTCCTAAATTAGGTGGCCTTAGCTAGACAGTATATTGGGAATGGCTCTTGGTCCACTGTCACCCAGGAGGTGACACCTAGGCAAAAGCTATGCCAGAAACCACAGTAATAATTTGACAGCACGGATAATTGTACTATTTACTTTTTTTTTTTTGACGTAGCTATTGCCTAAAACACCTCTCCACCTACCCCTTCCCTGACTCTATCCCAAAAGAACATGACAACAACAGATACAACCACAGAACAAAATTGTTTGAGCCATCTTTGTATAATTTGGTAAGCCAGAAGGATGATGTTTAGGACACAGGACCTTTAGATTCAGTTTACTGATTTTTCACCCCTCAAGAACAGAGAAAATGACTCCTCCATTCTCGATATCACACCTCTGGCTCTGGTACTAAACTGACTGCATTTTCTTGGAGTCCCCTTTATACAAGGGAAATGAAGGAAAGTGCATTGGATTCTTCTGCTTAATGCCAGCAATTTAATAGTCTTACAGTACTGTGGTGCATTTCTGAGTAAACCTCTTCTGCATGGAGGTTGCCTGTACCACACACATCACCATGGGCACTGTGTTCCCTGGGGAGCTCCTGGGGTAGGCTGCTTTAATTTGATATCTCCATTTTAAAAAGGCATCAGAGAGAGGGCAGAAACCTCACCAACATCACAAAGAAGAGGTCTTTAAATGTAACCTATCCAGTTAGGGACCACCTATAGTTATTTCTTCCATAATACCAGTGTCTAAGAGGTGTGAGAGGAATTTCCTGCTGTCTCCCTTGGCTCCCTGCACAGTCAGTGTATGACTGTGCTGCTCCTGTGTGCTGTCCCTCAGTTGCCCACACTGTTAACCTGTGAGCAACCTTCTGGAACGGGTTTGGCTCATACAAACCAGCTCCTTTACCTGCTCCTAGGTATGACTTTAAGCATAGCATGGATAAGGGACTGCTTTTAATAAGTAGTACAGGTGGGAAAAGTTGGGAGTGAAGAGCAGGTAGCTGTACAGGTTCAACCTGTGAATCAACCTGTGCCATGTGCCTTTTGGCCAGGCTGCTCACTTTACCAGTAGAGACATAAACTAAGCAAACAGCAGGGACGTCATGCTGGACTTGTCGATGTTGACCTGACAGAGCTCATGGCCAATAAAGAACGAGAATAAAAAGCAGGATTTCCTAATACCTGTATTTTCACTTCTAAGACCCCTTCCTCTAAAATTTAGCTGTCTACGAAGTGCACACAAAAGCACAGTTTGCCTGAGGACCTGACAGAAAATTAATGCTGTGGTTGTATAGGTTTATTAGGATACACTTTGAGCCAGGACTTCCCCTGAGTCCACAAAATGATGTGTTCAAATGGCTTCCCATGCCGTCCCCAAGGATGTTAACACATCTGTACCTCAGAGATTTAATTGTTCCATCCAGGGGTAAATTTATATTCTCAGAACTGCAGTGCAGGGCCTGATTTTATATGTCTTAAACACCTCAGCACAATAAGTTCGAGCTGTTTCTGTCGTTTTGAATAGAGGAAAAAATGAAAATAATAATGGAGGATCACCACAGCTTTTCACTTGGGGAAGGAATGCTGAGCTGAGATCATTCCCAACGTATAGCTTTGCATTATACTATTTCTACTGGCTGCAAGTACAGGCATGGCAAACTGGATGGACAACTTCAGGTGCCCTGTGCCTCTGGAATGGGAGAACAAGGGGCTGTGACGGTTCTTCAAGCACTCCAACAGGATTTCTTTAGTACTGGTATCCTGTATGCATTGTCCTGTGATTGATCCATGACTCAAGGCTTAGGAAAACCAATGCATCCCTCTCCAGGGTTCTGTGGTTTACTACTTTAGTAAACAAAAACAAAAACAGTTTTAGTATAAAGCAAAACAGTTTTAGTATAAACTTAGATACCACAAGCATCTCTGTGTTAAGACTGACCACCTTGCATTGGAATTATTATGTTGGTCTTGGGCAGCCTTGGAGAATCCTGTGCAATGGTTTTGCTCAGGATCTGCTGGAGCATTTTTCCAGTCTTTGTTTTCCTGCCTCACAGAATAGAACTACTATGCTTTGCTAAACACAACCAGTTACTGAAACAGTTCAGTTCAAATCAGGCTGTTTTCTTCATCATTTAAAATCATTCCAGACCTACTCTTCTCTGTAACAAAGCATGAAGGTAGTTAAAGCTCAAGGTATAGGCTAGGCTAGACTCAATAGAATTTGTCCTCAGCATCCATGAATTAACCTAGTTTTAACTAGGATTTCTAATTTATACTTATTTGTGTAAATAAGTCCAGACAGCTTTAAAATATCCAGCCTGAGGAGGAGGCTAAAGGATTGGGGATATTTATGAACCACCTGCATTTCTATAGAATTATAGAATGGCCCGGCTTCAAAAGGACCTTAAAGATCATCTAATTCCAAGCCAACTAACAATGCCATTTCTTAGATGCAACATAAAGGCTGTTACTACACACCTGTAAGTGTTTCAGTGCTAGGTCAGGGCTGGAATATGACACTGCAAATACAGAAGTTTATCAGGAATCTCCAGTAACTTATACTTCTGGGCCCTCTTTTGGCTGAATCTGGTAATACATATAGCAAAACTAAGAATTGCTTAAAGTAATTGGAATTGGAACTTCAAGCCAAATATTATACTAACCAGCTCAATGTCTCAAGTTTTTCATGCATATTGGAATGTAAGAGCAATGAAATAGAAATTAAAAGAAAATCTTTCTCTATACTAGAGGTTCTTACTAACAGTAAATCAGAGAAAAAGCTGTTATTATAGCACTCAAACCTGTTTGGTTTAGAGTTGATTAAATCACATAAAACTTAAGAGTAAGAAAATATTTTAAAATATAAAATATTCATGTTGTGGTCATAGACTCAGTTGGTATTAAAAGCCTAAAAATAAAGAAAATTAAACATAATAACTTTAAAAAGTAGAAGAAGAACTAGCCATATTTTAACAAAATTCATATTTAGAAAAAAGCTCAAACATTTGAAGAAAGACTAAGTGTGTGTTGACTAATGATATTAATTTTTTAATTTAAACTTTACCTTAAAATGACTTTTTCTTTTATCCATGTAAATAAATCAATGTCTTGTACAGTAGTTTTTAGGGATGCCAAGCATAATGTTCTTTCTATAATGATATTAGGAGGAATGTTATCAATAATTAGGTTTTACATTTCCCAGACACTCAGTCTTCAGCTAGTAGACTGGTCACGAAGTGGGGAAGAATGTGTCATATCCGTGAGAGGACTTTGGAATTCTTTTCTGTTAAATCCTCCTTTATCCCTAGCTTTCTACACTTCCTAGTCACTTTTCATTGTCACTACACAGACATGTTTTCCCTTCAGATTTTCAGGATGTCCACGTGATGATATTTGTTGGATTTGGTTTCCTGATGACCTTCCTGAAGAAATATGGATTCAGCAGCGTTGGCATCAACATGCTCATTGCTGCATTTGGTCTCCAGTGGGGAACCCTGATGCAAGGATTTTGGCACATGCATGGAGGGAAAATCCAAACTGATGTCAGAAGGTATATGTGAATTTACAAAAATTGATATTTCTATCCCTTAGGATATCAGGAGAAGCCATAAACTACACTATCTATGGGATCAGACTTTAGGTTCACCTAAATTTCATTAAGCCTTACTGTCCACCTCTCAAAATCCATCTCTCTTCACCTCTAAGGGGGCCACACCTGGGCCAAAGGAACCAAAGGGTGGAATTAAATTTGAGGTGCTACATTATGTGTGGGCTGTAAGTCCTGCAGAGAGATTGCTTTGAGTCTCTGGACTTGTAGAAGCTGGAAGATTTCAGCAGTAGCACAGCATATCCTGCATCCAGCAGGCATGGAAGGATCCGTCTCTCCATGACTCACAGGGTCACAGAAGAAAGCCTGGAACAGCATCTCTATCCACTCACAAGGTTTTCTTCTACTTCCTAAGGAGTGACTTTCACGAGCATCACACTGCAGTAGGGTCTGAACACCGATCGCAGAATAAGAGGCCTCATGAGCAATGTCTCCAGTAATTTTTAATCCCTCTCCCATTCATCTATCCCGCTTCTACCGAGATCTCAGAGTGTTTTTCACATCTGAAGTTCTATTTTCTGAGGCAACTTGTAGACAATTTTGAAAGCAACAGCATCCAAACATTACTGTGGGACAAGCAGGAATACTCTTAAGTAGCTCCTTAATGCTCACAGGCATTTGTAGACGGATCCATCATTTAGTGCCTCTCTGGGCTCCAAGTTCTTGACAAATTTGTAGTTTTATTTACCTTTGCCATTCCCCAAAACATGTTAATGCTGAACCTGCCTTACAGGTCATGCAAACATGATGCACAGTGACAGAAAGTCATGCAAGACTTTCAGAATGATATAAACCATCAGACTGAAGCCGAGACCTCCCTGTCATCTTTGAAATCCAAGTGGCAGTCAGGGCTGGAAATTGAGGTGCTGGAATGTGTCCAGAGAAGCGCAACAGAGCTGGGGAAGGGTCTGGAGCACAAGTCTGATGAGGAGCAGCTGAGGGAGTTGGGGGGGCTCAGCCTGGAGAAAAGGAATCTTGGGGGGACCTTCTCATTCTCTACAACTCCCTGAAAGGAGGTTGTAGCCAGGTGGGGTTTGGCCTCTTCTCCCAGGTAACAAGCAACAGAGCAAGAGGGAATGGCCTCAAGTTGTGCCAGGGAAGGTTTAGATTCGTTATTATGAAAAATCTCTTCAGAGAAAGGGTTATCAAGCAATGAAAGAGGCTGTGCAGGGAACTGGTGGAGTCAGATCCCTGGAAGCTTTTAAAAAAACATGCAGATGTGGTGCTTAGGGACATGGTTTAGTGGTGGACTTGGCAGTGCTGTGTTAACAGTTGGACTTAATGGTCTTAGGGGTTCTTTTCCAACCTAAATGATTCTATGATATCCCTGCACATCTGCAATGTACATCTCATCTGTTTTTTCATTATAATTTCAACCAGTTAAGCACATTTATGGTATAACCAGGAGGAAACCATCCCACACTTATTCCTCAGCAGCTGGTAAGATCCCTACAAAATCCATCTGGAAAGATTTCATTTAATTTTTACCCCCAAAGATGATCTTGAAAATTTTATACTTGAAAAGTTAAAGCTCTATCATATTAATATGTCATGTTGGATATTACAGCCTTTAAACTGCTTTTCTCTTTTTCATGGTTTTTTGCTTTACCTTGTTTTGTTTTTATCTATTTTCTTACTATCAGCATGATAAATGCAGACTTCAGTACAGCAACTGCTTTGATTTCATTTGGAGCAGTTCTGGGTAAAACAACTCCCATTCAGATGCTGATCCTGACAATTCTGGAGATCACCATCTTTGCATGCAATGAACATCTAGTTGCCGAAGTACTTCAGGTACAACTATCTAGCAATAATTGTTTTCTCTTTATAACAAATACTTTCACTTTGCAATACTTCCTGTTTGCATATTCTAGGTTTTAGTTTCTACCATAGAAATTAAACCATTAAAGTCATCCAGACTTCTCTTTCATCAAATCTTCATCTTTATGTTGTATAAAATCTGAGGTCTTATTTTGGGTCCCTATTACAGGCCACAGATGTTGGAGCTTCAATGACTATCCATGCTTTTGGAGCTTATTTTGGTTTGGCTGTAACCTTAGTGCTGTATCGTCCTGGTCTGAAAAACAAACATGAAAATGATGAATCCACCTATCACTCGGACATGTTTGCCATGATTGGTAAGTGAAGTAAGAGTGAGTGCTGAGCAGTTAGTTGTTTATTTCTCTTCTATCTCTATTTTTAACTGTTTACCTATTATTGCACTACATTCATTTTCCTAAGTATACTCCTAGAGGTAAATTCTTTATAGCCTGATGCATGGACCATATTTTCAGTGATACACATATATTTATACAGCTTTTCCTTGGTTAAAAGAAAGGAAAGATCAAAGTAAAGATGTGTTTTCACTGTACATTCATGGTGACTTCCTTTTTGTTGAATCTTCTGCTTTTAAGAAGTATTTCCATAGAAAACCGGCACAATTAAAAGGATTGAGTTGTGCCTGTCATGGTAATGACTGTGTACCATATACCTGTGTGTCCATGAGATCTATTCATAGACCAATTAAACAGCTAAAACTATTAGTTATATCTATAGGTGATAAAAGATTTGCATGTGAACTGTCTTGCTAATGCCTCTTATTCTGATTGGGGTTTCACATTGCTCTGGCAGTAAGTGGCCGGTGACAAGGGGTCACAGCATGTTAGCAAGATTTGACAGAGATCACGTGCCAAAATCCCAGCTGCCAGTGTCAAAAGCTGTGTATTCTATTATTTCTTCCAGTATTTTGGCTAGTCCGTGTTTCTTATTAATCATCTCCCTCATTTCTTGTAGCTACCTGTGTTGTGTTGGGTCTTTCACATTAAAATACTCTTTATGACTGAATAGCCTTTGCTTTGTTTTGACTTGTATTTCACCCAGGTACCCTGTTCCTTTGGCTGTTTTGGCCCAGTTTTAACTCTGCCATTGCAAGTAGGGGAGACATGATAACAGCAATTATCAACACTTACTATTCCTTGGCTGCAAGTACCATTGTAACATTTGCCCTCTCCAGCTTGGTGGACAAAAGAGGCAAATTCAGTATGGTAAGAATCACATCATGACCTCTGTTAAATCAAGTTAACCCTCTATAATAAGGGTGTCACGTGAAAGGTGGGAGTTCAGATATTTGCTCATAAATCCCCCAGGAAAGTTGAGACCCTGGTGTCCAACAGTCTGTCAGTGTTTCAAAAGGAGACCCTTCACCACCAGATCTATCGAGTGTACCTCGACCTCCCTTGTTAGGGGCAACTCAACAGAGCCTGGACCCCTCAGCGGGTCCTGCCAAGGTGTTATCTGCCACCAGCAACTGCAAGGACTCACTTTAGCAATTTACAGAATAATATTTTTTATTAATACAAATTCTGACAGATTAATAAGGTTTGAAAGTTGTCGGTGATAGTGTCTACTGCAAAAATATATTTTAAAGCAATCTACTGATACAAATATTAAGCAAGCACAAGCTCTGATACGAAGCAATCTAATTAATATACTATGGGGTAAGCACAAGCAAAAGCTCTAGTCCTAAAAGCAGCATTTAACGTGTGTAGAGCATATTTCTCACCCCAGGCATCCCTCTCGGGGAGGGGGGGAGAGAATGGACTCAGCCCGTCGACTGATCCCAGCAGTTTCAGTGCAGGTCTTCTTCCACTTTCCTCTTATCCCCAACTTACTTTTATACTATTTTCTTTATGTTTGCGTGGAGTTTAGTCTTTCTTCAAATGTTTGGGGTTTAAGTTTTATGTGATTTAATCAGCTCTAAACCAAACAGGTTTGAGTGCTGTAATAGCTTTTTCTCTGATTTTATTGTTAGTAAGAACCTCTAGTATAGAGAAATCATTTCTTTTAATTTCTCACAGAAAGGGTTGGAAAGCACTGGAGCAGACTGTCCAGGTGGTGGTGCAGGGTTGATGGTTGGGCTTGATAACATTAAAGGTCTTTTCCAACCTTAATGATTCTATGAATCTATGATGATTTTCTCTTGTCCACAGGATCTGCTGGATCATAGTGACATTAATCCAGTGTTCAGGTGGACTTCTGGGTCTTATTCCAAAGACAGCCCTATTTGAGTTATCTTATTACAAGAGCCAAAATAGGTCTCCCAAGGCAAGGACCTATTCCCTGACAATCTCACAGTGCACCTGCACAACAGGGAAAACCAAACTAACTTGAGGCTGCCAGGTTGACAACCTTTCATCTCCTGGCCCTAAAATCCAGCCTTATATTTTCACCCACTCCTTTCCCCCAGATACAGTTTTGTCAGAGCTCAGCATGATCAGGATCAGGATTTGCTGCTGTTGTAGGAGGCAGCTCTCACTCGCTCAGCCTGGATTCTCAAGAGATCATATGAGTTTTGGTGACTTTGCAAAAGCTGGACTTCATTAAAGTGGCTTAGAGCAACTTTGAACAGACAGCAAGAATATGTAACAGGGAACTTTGCTTTAAGTTCCTGTTCCCTCTTCATTGGAAGAATCTCACCTGAAGAAAAGGAAAAGTTCTGTGTGCAACAGAGCCTTCAGAGGTACTCAGCCTTAAAAGGAAACTCTGTTCCTCATATATCACCTCCCCCTCTGTGTCCCCTCTGCAGGTACTCATTCAAAATGCCACCCTGGCAGGAGGAGTAGCGGTGGGTACCTGTGCTGACCTACGCATTTACCCTTTTGGTGCCATGTGCATTGGGATTCTTGCTGGAATTGTCTCTGTCCTTGGGTTCCGCTTCCTGTCTGTAAGTATTGGGGACCCCCCTCTGCTCTCATTTACTTATTGCCCTTTGGATTTCCTGGAGCTCCGTGCATTTGCTAGAAAGGGAGAATAGAAACTGGCTGATGCAGCAAACTCTAGACAATGGTGACTTTTAATAATTTGATTATTTTAATAATAATGATTTGATTTTTGTACTTCTGCACTACTTTCTTTTGCACATCGTTCTAGAGATCATAGAATTCTATAAACTCACTATAAACTTCCGATTTCCCCTCATTTCAGCCTCTGTTGGAATCCAAGCTGAACATTCAAGACACTTGTGGAGTTCATAATTTGCATGGTTTGCCTGGAATTCTGGGAGGTATCGCTGGCATCATAGTAACTGCAGTAACAGACCAGACAATGTGAGTTACAGAGAGATGAGAGAAAGGTTTCTTTTAATTTTTGAACATCTATCTTAATTTTCTACCTTCTTTGGATCTAATTATGATTTTTTTTTTCAGAAATACACCTTTGATTTAATGACAGGCATCATATTCTGGTTTGAATGGGACTCTTCTTAATCTCCTGCCTTTAACACACTGTTTAAATGCCAAGTTTGTTCCAGATTAAAAATGCAAATAAAAACAAATAAATTAAAATCGTCATTAAAAAGCTCAGTGCACAGAACCATTCAAACATAGAAAAATATTTATTATGATTCTACAATTGCACTGCTGGTAACTGTAATATTTCAAAACAAATTGGCAAAATGGGCCTTTTCCACTATCTTATAAGACTCCAAGAAGACGAAACGCTGATCTTTTTGACAACAGGGAGCATTCTCTAAAAGCTTACAGGATACTAATAATCTTTTCAAAGAACTTGTTTTCATTTGAAGTCTAAACCAAGTCAAATTGAAGTCATGATTTGTCTTGTACACAACAATGGCAGGATTTGTTGGACCTAATGTTCTTGGAAATCTTTTCCAACTTTGATGATTCTAGGATATTTTCCTATGAGCCACCTAGTCCAGCAGGCAGCAAGTACAATGTTGTAAGACCAACCATCAGTCTCAAAGTGTACCAATTTTTCAATAGTCAATGGTTTGTTTTCTACCCCTTTCAGGCATGGTGTCCAGCTAACTCCTGGCAAGCAGGCCGCTGCCCTGGGAAGTACACTTGGAATTGCACTGGTGGGAGGAGCATTGACAGGTCAGTATGATGCATGTAGCAACTGAACTGTGTGTGAACTTAGAGACTTTTCCATGGAGAACGTCAGTGTATCAACAATTTCATGTGAATAACACAAAATAGAAGCAATGCACGATGACACACTGGCAGAAACTTAAACGTAGAAATTCAGTTTTTCCAATATTTTTTTCTTCAAATAAAGTCCAGGTTGGACATAAGAAGAATTTCTCACTAAAAGGGTTGTCAGACATTGTAAGGGGCTGCCCAGGTGGTGGACTCCCCATCCCTGGAGGTGTTCAAGAAACGACTGGACGTGGCACTCAGTGCTCTGGTCTAATTGACAAGGTGATGTTTGGTCAGGGTTGGACTTGATGATCTTGGAGGCCTTTTCCAACCTCCATGTCTCTATGATTCCATGATTCTAGATATCCTACTGAATGCATGCTTCAAAGATACTGAGTTTTATATATATATATATTTATATATATATATATATATATAGGAATAGTAAGATGTTGTTCTGGATGGAATTCTTCTCCAGATTTAAAATTCTGAACAGTAACTAGTTTGAGACTAATACATATTCAGTGAGGTGTCACAGGTTTCCATGTGTTATTGAATACTTCCAAACAAAAAAAAACCAGGAAATTTCAGTCTGAAGTCTGGGAAAGGTTTGAGCAATTAAAAACAAGCTCTTATTCATGTTTATATGAAGAAATCTGCATCACCCCTCAGAATAAGTGACCTGATGTTCCAAAATGGTTGGATATTTCTGTAGATAAGGAAATGAGTCAGAAATCTTAGCTGGCTCCCCAGGGCACATCTTAGGGACATTTATTTGGTGATTTTCTCATTTTTTTTTAACCTCTGATGCTGTTTTTCCTGCAGGTGCTATTCTAAAGCTGCCCTTCTTGGGACAAGTCTCTGACCAGAACTGCTTTGATGACTCTGTTTTTTGGGAGGTAAGATACAACCTCCTTTATTTTTGTGATATTGGAAAATGTACATCACACTGCAGCCCTGCTCTCCTGAGTTGGTGGTTTGCACACTTGAGTCAACTTTCAAAAATGATGCTCTGCCTCGGGCTGTGGATTTATCAAGGCCATCTTCAGGACCTTTTCTGGACTTCTTAGCTAGTCATGGCTTTTTGAACAAAAAGTAGAAATACAGCCAACAGATCGATATGTCAGTGGAGCTCTTTATCTCTCTTTTAAGTGCTCACTGTACCAAGTATCCTCTTCCTTATTAGAGACTGATGACATACTCCTAATTTAGACAACCTGAATTTTATCCTTTATGCCAGGACAAACCCAAAAAGGCAAGGCAAGAATTAATACATGACATACATTCATTGTAAATAAAATGTACTGAAGCAAAAAGGAATTCTTGTTAAGTGTTTTAATGAATTAAATTCCAATATGGACCAACCACACAATTTGGCTTTTGATGAGAGGTTTGCAGTCTAAGGGAAAGTTTTGAGCCAACAGATCAGATGCAGCAACGACAATCAGAAAAACAAAAACAAAACCACAAACAAACAAAAACCAACCAACCAACCAGCCAAAAAAAAACCCTAAAATATTTTAATGACAACTCTGCAAGATATGTGCTGGTTGACCTTGGGAAAGTCAAAGACCTAAAATGTGTTGTCACATGTAAATGTTAAAAAATGTCAGGAAAAGTTTTACAATGGCTGAAGAATTTACAGCCTGTGTTGACCCGTGATAATAACAGCCCCTGCTGTACTGGAGGTCCTGTAGTATCACTAACACTGATCAAAAATACTCAATTCCATATGAGCTTTATCAGATAATGGGAAGGAACATTGATATCTGGCATACAACATCATCTATATTTCTTTAGAGAAGTCTCCTTGTTTCTTTACAGCTCCTTGAAAATCCCAGATATATATTCTGTACTCTCACGGCTGACATCAGCATTAGGGAATTCTTCTATGAACAAAACCCTGAATTCACCCCTCAGAATCCAGAACTGGTGGTTCATGTCAGGCTGTGCCAATGTTGATAAGCAGACACATAACACATACAAATAGAATTACATTCTCAGCACATTTTAGTCTTCTTTCATGGCAAAAGTAAGTCTATATCTCATTAACTGAACTCTTCTGTTTTTTATGGCAGGTTCCAGAAGAGGAGAAAGGACATGAAATTCACTCCAGCAACCGAGATGAGAACAGCAGATTTGAAGCTGCCATGTAGAAAAATAATTAGTCTGTAATATTTGTGCAAATGAAGCTCTTTTACATTTCTAATGCTAAGAAACAACATCCAAGTATTTTCCTTACCACCAGGGGGTTTTAAGAAGTAGCTGTAAATAACTATATTTTTGTGATATAAAACAAGCTTGATTTTAGAGTATGTAGTCATTATGCCAAGCCCAGACGAATTAATTAGGTCTTTCTAATATATTTGTTCATCATCAAAATTATCTATATTTTATCTTTGGTTGCCACTGAGTCAGTATAGCTATTGTAACAAATTTTGGGTTTCAAGATTCCTCCAGGATAATATATTTAACTGCAAGATTTCTGTGTTACAATCACATCCTTCAGCTGCGTAGAGGTAATCAAGAAGAAATTAATTGATAGTTTTTATTCAGATTCTAACAAGCTTTTCACCAGAGCATCCCATATTAACTTTTTAAGAAAGTTTGTTGTCTTATTTTTGGATGGGGGTGGGGGGGAATGGGCTGTGTTTTGAAGATTGATTACGACAGGAAACAAAATATTGAAGTCATTCTTATGGCAAAGCACAGAATACAGCGATTGATGAGCTACTCTAAGTGGCAATATGAGTATCGAGATTCATTGTTAATATGTTTATTGAAAGGGAGAAGAAAGTGAAATTGTGAAAAATTTCATTACAGTCACAGATTTCTTTAGACTGTTTCAGGGACAGAATAAGGGAATTGAGTAGGAGCTATGAGAATCAGGTAGTTGCATAATATGTCTTATTACATTCAGCAGTAATAAGTGGGTTGTGGCACTGGTAATGTTAATAAATATGAACTGAACTAATGCTAGCTCCAAAAAAGCATGAGTTGTTAGGAACTGATCAGAAAGAAACCATGTCCAACCTACAGAAGACTCAGAGAGGACTTCCATGTGGTGAGTCACTGACTTTGAAGTCACTGTCTCCTAAAGCAAGAGAAAGCAGAAAGAAGAAAATTGAAGCTAAATTAATGTAAATTAACTCAACCTGAGAAGTAATGACAGTGGCTGCTCAGCTAAGAGAGAGAAAAATGGAGGGAGCTGAAGGAACCCTACAAGATGAGAGTAGCCAGAAGCAGAGTCACACCCCACATCTGTGCCCATGTGTATGGAGTAATCCAGGGAGAAGCAATGGATGGGAAATCTAGCAGAAGGAACACTTCAGTGCATTATTTGGACATGGAAAGCTACCACTGATGTCTCAGAAGAACAAGCTAAAGTGGGTGAACTTTAAAGACTTTATTTATATTAGCATCTTATTTCAAGTCTGACTCATCAGACTAAAGAGAAAAACTCCTCTCATATAAAATAGCACATATGTTTTCAGTTCTGCTGATGTATTTTTCCTTCAAAAACTTTAGAAAGATACTAGTCAGGGTTGTCTCATGTTATATCAGCTGTATACTGCTATATATGCCACATTTCTACCTATAGATGAAAACACATTTGTTGTAATACACTTCAGTTCAGATATGCTCTTTTGCAGATGTACAGCAATTGACTCTGTTCTACCTTGTTGGCTATAAAATATGCTTTATCCTTTCAAAGCTTTCACACAATCATATTTGTAAAAATGGAGAAGGTATTTAACAATGTAAATATTGCATATGTAGATATTTTAGAAGGGATTTTGTATAATTTGCAAAGTATTGAAGTACTTCAAAAATATTCCATACGTAGACAGCCTTTAAAAATCTTATATTCAATACAGGAATGTCACCCCTCAAAATCTTCTTTGGGGATTCAGAGGGTCTTTCTTTCACCTTACAGAGGTGAGGTAATTTCACTGATTCTGAGTGTTGACCACCCAGGAATGCCTGAGTGAAGAAGTACCACTCACATTCCAGAATTATAGTCAGGTGGAAATCCAAGTCTATGGTCCCTTCCAGTGGTGAGTGTTCAGAGGGAACCCTGGGAGCCTAGTGAGCCTAATGAGCCTCAATGATGCCCTCAACAGTTAAGTGCAGTCTGGTTCTCCAGTTCTCCTTATAATCTCTCCATAGTAATCCAGACCCTCGTCCTTCAAGAACTCATTATTGTCCTCTGCCTTTTTTTCTCAGAAGTTTCCTGTCCCAGAGAAATCAGTCATTCAGGTTCTCTCAAAAAAACAGAGGAGGGAGATAGATCATTCACAGCTTCATGTCACTTTCCCATGTATGTGCCTGAAGAGTATGCTCACCTTTTCTCTCCATATTTGGTTCTCTGTCTTAGGATATTTTCTTTGGTTGGTTATTTCCCAGTTAATCAAAACTTTAAACACCCTGAGTCAGTTCTTCAACTTCCAAGTTACTGGAGAACTTTGGCACCTCACTGGCTAAGGAGGAAAACAAACTGCTGCATCTGCTCTAAATTCAAGGTTTATGATCATAGTCTTCTGACTGACCTTTGTTCTTACCTTGACATGTTAGTTTTTACGTTAAAAAAGCTTAAATAAGGTTTATTTTTTTAAGCAAATAAAAACTTTAATGATATCTTATTTAAACTAACCAAAGGTCAAGCTTATTGTCAAAACACCAGTGGATGATCATAATTTGAAGATTGTTTTACAGTTCTTCAGCTCTGTCAGAGCAGTATCTTTGTATTTCATTATTGAAAGGCAAATTTATTTTAAAGCCATTGGCTGAATATTTGCTTATAAAATTTCTTTTCATATTTGTATTCAAATCCGTTGCTGATTAAATGCATGAATTTAATGATCAGATGGCCAACTGTATTTGTTTGACATTTCTTGAGGATGTATAGCCTTCTTTCTTTCTCAGTGGGATCAACCTGTTAAAAAAGTATGCATTGTGAGAGTCTTGCCAAAAGAGAGCTCTTCCTCTTCATCACAAGCCTTCCTGCAGAAGTTCACCTTTCAGTCACCCCTCAGCTCCTCGTTGTTAATTAAATTCCGGATATATGTGGAAAGACTGACATTCTCTGTGCCTTTTTACCCCATCTGGGAAGGTGGAGTAGAATCAGGCCAACTGGCAATCAGCTGGACACATGCCCTGGACTTTTTCCAGGACACATTCCAGGTAGGTGAAATGTCTTGGTCTTTCAGAGACCCTGGGACAGTAGCAGACTCAGGGTAAGGCAGTACAAGAGCAGGCTTGTTGGAGCTCCTTTTCCAGGCTCCCAGCCATGTGCCAGGGCACTTTTCCTCTAGGTCTCTGCACCTGCATCCCCAGGGGCTGACTCCTCTCCTCTGCCTCTGGTCATATCTCTGCAGGGATCCTGATGCTTTTAGGAGATAAGAGCCTGGGCACCTCCCTTCATACAGCCTTCACCTTCTTGCCTCAAGGCCATGTACAATTTAGGGCTCTAGACTTCTACTAGAAACTCTTTCAAAGACTGTTCTTCAGGCTGTGGCTCAGCTTCTCTGGCCAGTCTCAGTGAAAGACCTGGATGGTTTCTTCTCCACTGCTGCTTCTTCTAACAACTCCCTCTCTGCTGCTCAACTCTCTTAAAGTCTAAGACATGAGTCAGACTGTACCTCAGCCCTCTTTTCTCACCCAACAGAGGACATCTTTTCTCAATGAGGTGTCCAGTTCTGGGATCCCCAATAAGAAAGAGGTATGGACAGACTGAAGAGAGTCCAGCAAAGGGCCACAAAGATGCTGAAGGAACTGCAGCATCTCTTATACAAGGAAACACAGAGAGATTGGACTGTTTAGCCTAGAGAAGGTTCAGGGGGATCTTATCAGTCTGTATAAACACCTGGAGGAAGGTTCAAATAAGTCAGAGCCAGACTCTTCTCAATGTGTGCCCAGTGACAGGACCAGAGGCCATGGGCACACACTGAAACAGGGGAGGTTCCTCTGAACATCAGGAAATACTTTTTTGCTGTGAGAATGATCGAGCACTCCAGGTTGCCCAGAAGGTTGTGGAGTCTCTCTCCTTAGAATCCTAGAATTGTTTAGGACCTTGGAGATATTCAAAATCTGTCTGGACATAGTCTAGGACAACTGACTCTTGATGGCCCTGCTTGAGGAATGGGCTTGGACCAGACAAATTCCAAAGTCCCCTCCAATCTCAATCATTCCATGATTCTGTGACTTGAAATTCTCAGTGAATTCAATGGAAGCAAAGTTATGCCAATTCCTAGGTATTTTAAAAAAATAAGTCTGTGCACTACTCCCTTGGGCAGTGGCATCTTGATTTCAGTTCTCAGGGTATCAAGGCTGTATCTGTACTAATGACAAAAACTTAATTAATCAGTAACCAGGACAGTGTACAGAGTTTATGACTTTTATACCAAAAACCAGGTCAAAGACCATGTTCTTGGACTTTCATACTCGGACACTGAGCTATACTCTCACCCAGTCACACACTTGGCTAGCAAACATTTACCTGCCTCTGTACCCTGCTGAGGTATAGCACAGAGGGAGAGAACTAAACCAGTCACAAATTGCAAGAAAAGTATCTGGGAAAGAGGTTTACGGACTAACACAGAAGTCTCCAAAGGGAAATTTTTGCAGGAGGACAGAGATTCAGAGTCCACATTTTCTCTTTTCTGTGGCAAACACTTTGTTGAACAGAGATGGACTGGAGCAGCAGCACTTCCGTTGGTTTAGTGTTCATCCTGGTTTTTCTATACATTTTGAAAATAGCAGGTTTCTGGGACAACAACCGGAGAAAGAATTTTCCTCCAGGACCAAGAGCATTACCTATAATTGGAAACCTTCATTTATTTGATTTGAAGAGACCCTACAGGACTTATATACAGGTAATAATTTTCTTTTCTATTGGTCCCATAACTACACATATCACTGAGCCCATAGTCCAAGATGTCAGAGAGTTTCTCCTACTGTCCCTGACATGTTGTATCCATGGATGATCCTTTAGCAAGGGACAGGAGATGGTTATTTGAGTAGAAAACTTTGAATGCAGAAAGATTTGTTCTTTACTGTAATATTTACTCCATGCAGCTTCATGCATCCAGGTTTCAGCCTTAAACAACTCTCAAATTAATAACAAGGGCCCACCTTATTTTTGTGATAATTTTGAGGAAAAGGCAACTGAATAAGGAGTGATTTTGATATGTGGTCTAACTCCCTCTGCTTTCCGCTGATTGATGTGTCTGGACCTTACTGGAGCTTCTTGCCTTCACTGATTCAGAAAACTTTCTCATTTCTCTTTCCTCCTTCTTTCCCCAAAAGCTGAAGATAACTATATACACTTAATATTCAGGGCCAACAGTTGCCAGAATAATAAACCTTTTGTTTTTCTTCTAGTACTTTCTCCACCCAGTTTATTGCAGGGCTTTCCTGACTTTGAGTCAGAAGACTTCAATGAACCTGCTCCTTTCATAGAGTTTTTTCCATTTAGACATTGCAATTACACGTCCTCCTTGCTGATGATTTCAAAAGGGATATTTGCACCTACAAATCTGGATGTTGCATCCACAAATCAAAAGATTGCTTAGATGCACAATCTAGAATATCACTGTAGCTATCCAGTACAGCCTAATCATGTTGACAAAAGCAAATTCCATGTGTTTTCAGGCCAACAGAACCAACGTGTCTCTGCTGTAATCCAGTGATTCCACGCTAATGCAGGAGGTTGTTTCTCTGATGAGGATAATTCAGATATGTGTCACTGCTCCTCTTATTTCATATATAGTTGGCTCTACTCACTTACCAGTTGCTGAACATTTTCCACATTGTTGCTAAATAGCTGTTTTCTGTTTCTTTCTGCAAACACAGAAGAAAATAAGGACAGTCAGGAAAACCCCCTCCAATTGTCAGTAGAATTAGGAACAATGAGTTATATAAAAATAAATCTACCTGTACCAGCTAAAAAGGTGTCTCCAAAACAGATTCGTGGAAGATATAGTCATGTATAAAAACTGTGAATTTACCTAATGCTAAATCCTGGCCCAGAAAACAAAAGTGGGTTTTTTTTTGGGGGGAAGGGGGGGGTTATGCAATAATGGTAGCAAAGGTTTGAACAGGTTTAGCCCGTGAACACAAGAAACACAATAGCATATAAATAAGTATGAAAACATGAGTAAAAAACAAATTTAGAGGGGTTTCTGAGGGAAAACAGAGCTGTCAGCATAATCCTTTGCTGATCTAGGGTTGACACTTCTGCTTACTTTAGCACAGTGGGGCTCCACTCCCAACTGTGCCATTTAGTCATTAACCATCACAATGTCTGGCACATTCACATTATAGAAATCAATTCTCTTTCCCTGGACTTGGGAAAATATTTAACATGGCAGAAATTCAGAAGCAGGACAGGGAAATAAGCAGCACTGAAAGGGTGAATTTCTTCATAAGCTGTAAAGTCTGTAAATCCCTGTTCTTTTCTCCTGACAGCTGTCAAAGGAATATGGCCCAGTCTTCAGTGTTCAGATGGGGCACAGGAAAGTAGTTGTGATTTCTGGGTATGAGACAGTGAAGGAAGCTCTTGTAAACCAGGCAGATGCATTTGCAGAGAGACCTAAAATCCCAGTCTTTGAAGATTTGACCAAAGGAAATGGTAAGTTGGTTTTATTTTTCCTTTGTCAGCTTGACTTGTTCAACTTTTTTTCCTTCCTGTAGACAAAGCAGGGAGCTGGGATATCACTTTGGATCAGAGGCCACACAAGGCATTGGAAATAGGGAGCAATGCCATTGACTTCAGTGGATTTATTCAAAGTTGAAACTACTGACAGTGACAACAAACCAGCCACAACTCTAAAAATAACCACAGCAACAGATAGTGGATATTGTGACAATTTCAGGATCTAGAACAGGGCATCCAGGCCATAGAAGCATTTCTAGCTCTCATGACATGGCTCTGGACTTGTGGTTTTTCTGAATATGGTAACAGAATGGAACACAAACAGAATTGGGGATCTATTTTAAAAGGGGACATACTGTACACTGAGCTGGGTTTCAAAATGGGAATTTCATACCGAAGCTTCATTCTAATTTAGCATGAGAGTTTCATATTTACATCTCCAAAAACTACACCCTTGGGCAAAGTCAGGAATAATTCTGTGCACATTTTAACAGCTGTATTTTTTTGAACATATTATGCACTTAACCTTTCTTTTCACTTTATTTTTTTCTTTAGAGAAAAAATATAGCTGAAGTCATTAGTTATATTGGTGTAAAAATTTCAGTGGAAAGAAAAACCTGATTGAGGAAGTTTTAAGATACTACCTGAATTTTAAAGACATTTGTGCCTCGTCAGTTTTGTCCAGAAATCATCAGACACATGAGATCTCAGTTCAATTCCACTTCCAAACTATGATGATCAGTGGTTTGAACTTGAATTTCCAATGCCATCTTTCTTTCAGTGACAAGTGTCTCTTAGGATATATACTCTTCTTAAGATTTGATTAGCTACATCTTAAATAGTTATCTTTTTTTTTGTGCAACAAAACTATTGTTGAGGACTGACAATACTTAAGACAAAGTTGTTTTGACTCAGACAGAAGTTAGGTTTTAAAAGTGACTACTACTAAACAGCTCCATTCTGTGTCTAGAAAAATCAGTTATTTCTAATCTTCTGCCACCTTGAAACGTTCTCTTCGTGTCAGGGGTTGTTTTTGCCCATGGTGAAAACTGGAAGGTGATGCGAAGATTTACTCTCACAACCTTACGAGACTTTGGGATGGGGAAAAGGGCCATTGAGGATCGAATTGTGGAGGAATACGGGTACCTGGGAGACACCATCGCCTCACAACAAGGTGGGTGGGTGATTCATTCTTCAAACCTGTAGAAACATGGAATCATGGGATGCTTCGGGTTGAAAGGGACCTTAAGGACCATCTCATGGTCTCATGCCATGGGCAGGGACACCTCCCACTATCCCAGGCTGCTCCAACCCAGCCTTGAACACTTCCAGGGGTGGGGCAGCCACAGCTTCTCTGGGAAATCTCTTCCAGTGCCACCTCTAAGGTTTTGCTAAAGGACCCAGAGTCCTTCTGAACCTTCTGAAGTTCAGATCTTTTTAAGAAATGTACTACAGGCTGAATGAATTTGATAGATTTGGCTCCTCTGGCATTTTTGTGTCATTGCATGGTATTCTGGCATTGAATGATGATCAATAACGGCAATCAATCATAGGAAATAAATAGCAATAATTAGTATTACATTTACATTTACAAATTACATCTCTTGCCACAACATAACACATTCTTTTGTTCATTGTATAGGAAAGCCCTTTGACGCCAGTAAAATAATTAATGCAGCAGTTGCCAACATAATTGTGTCAATATTACTTGGAAAACGATTTGACTACAAAGACTCCAGATTTGTGAGACTTCTAAATCTGACCAATGAAAGCGTGAGGCTTGCTGGGAAACCTTTGGTCACGGTAATGATAAACATACTAACGTTGCTTTTCCACTGGATTCCATGGGAAAGTAGCAATACTGGTAGTGAGTGTCTTCTGTTAAACAGGCAAATCTAAGACTTTGGGAGATAATAGGTTTACAGAGCAATTTCTTGTGCAAAACAAAGCTTGGGAGACAGTCTGGAAATCTTGAAGCCAACAATCAAACTCCCAGTCTCTCAAAAACAAACTTAAACTATAGTTTGAAGAGTGCTAAGGAGTAATAAATATTCTCTGATACTTGCATGCAATGCTGCCTCACACCAGATTAATTTCTGTTCCTTTAGGCTTTGAAAAATAAAAGAGAGTTAGTGGTAAAGCTAGTTAAAACAGGAAAAAAAGTTGCTGGACAATATTTCCATCTCCGTGGTGGTAACTTGCAGCTGTTTGAGTCTGACATCAACACTACTTCTGCAAAATAATAATTTGGGGCTGAGAATTTTCCTTGTATTCGGTGGTCCCTGATGGATTATCTACCATGAATTAGTTTTTCATATTCTAAAGAACAAAATATTAATGTTAAGTTTTCGTCTTTGTATCTGCAAAATGGGCACAATATCACTAATTTGGTTCTGTAGTGTTTTCAGACCTCTGGCTGGTAAATTCTAACAACTTCCACTCTTGCAGATGTACAACATCTTCCCATACCTTGGATTCCTGCTAAGGGCTAACAAGACTCTTCTCCAAAACAGGGATGAATTCCATGATTATGTAAAAGTTACTTTTCTAGAACATCTCAAAAACCTGGACAAAAATGACCAAAGAAGCCTTATCGATGCTTTCCTGGTTAAGCAGCAGGAGGTAACTGAAATTTTTCTCATTCATTCCAACCTTTATGGTTCTATGAAGACACAACTTCCTTCCAGTCCTTATAATTACAGCTAAATTTCTTTAGGAAATCTATCTTCGACAAAACACATACAACAAAATGATAGAGTTGAACAGATACTTCACTCTGTTGCAGTTCCAACCCCTTTTATTCAGCAAACATTTATTCTTATTTATTTCCTTCAGACTGTATCCATATATTTACAGAGGCTGCCTCTTTTTTTAATCTGCTTTCTCTGTTGTCCCAGACTTTCTGGCTCTTTCAAGAACATAACTCATCACAGAATAAAATCACTACCTGGGCTTTACTGGGACTCTTATTTGGGGTCTCTAATATATCTGGGTTACCTTCTCCATAGAGAAAGCAGCTCCCTTTGCAGCTGGCCCCAGTAAATACAGAGATCATGCAGAATATAAAACCTAGGTCAGCATTATTCTCCAGGTACAAGCCCAAAGCTCTTCTTTGCCTTTCATACTCATTTTAAAATACAGTATTTACTTCTTAGTAAATGTTTTTCTACATAAATTGCATTCTCACATGGAAAGCTTTAAGTTTTCACCCTTTTATCTCAACCACTTTTTTCAGGAGAAATCCACTACCAATGGTTACTTCCACAATGGCAACTTGCTAAGCTTGATGAGCAATTTGTTTACTGCTGGTGTTGAGACAATTTCCACCACACTATATTGGGGCTTTCTGCTGATGCTAAAATACCCTGAAATTCAGAGTAAGTGGTTTTATGACAGATACTGTTACACTCAGGGCATTAGGAACCAAATGTGAGGTTGGAGGGTCAACACATCTGTTAATACACAGTACAAAAAGCCAAGATTTCCCATCAATTATAGTCTAGGTAATGCTGTGCCCTGTGGTCCAGACCCAGTGAGGGACACACTGGCCAAATCTACCACAGATTATAAACAGAGTTCATACAGACCAGGCCCTTTGCTCAGGAAAATCTCATTAATTAATAAGACACGAGCTGTCCTGTGTAGGGCAACGAAATTGTTCCAGGTTTCCCTCAGAAATGGGCTGTTGATAAACCAAAGGCCTGTGCAGATGTTAAATGGACCGTACTGAGGTATCAGATACCTGAGAAGATTCAGGGAATTGCCCTTTGTCTGACATCTCCATTCCAGTTGATAATACAGGGCTGTTTGGAGTCAAAATGGATTTCTGAGACTCCAGTTGGGCACAGTAAGAACTTTAGACAGAAGAGAGGGCGCAAAAAAAAGTCTTTAGGTTTCTTGTTCGTAAAGAAACAATCAAATACTCAAATCAAATTCTGCTCACCTTCCATTATTTCCAAATAGAAAAAAAAGACTTTTGGAGAATTTATGATTTTCATTTCTTTTTCTACTTTACATCAATAAAGCACAGGATGTCTCAGGGATGAATGAGACTTTGTTTCTTTCTCATACTTGATTCTTTCCTCAGGAAAGGTCCAAGAAGAGATAGATCAAGTGATAGGGTCAAACCCCCCACGGATCGAGCACCGAACTCAGATGCCATACACAGATGCTGTCGTCCATGAAATCCAGAGGTTTGCCAATATCCTGCCATTGGATCTGCCTCATGAGACTGCTGCAGATGTCACCCTCAAAGGCTATTTCATTCCCAAGGTGAGATGCCTACAGGATTGTTTTTTAACATTTCTTCTTCCTGAATTTGTCGAGGGATTAATTCCACTGTCCTGTTTTGCAGGGAACCTACATCATCCCCTTGCTGACCTCAGTCCTGCGCGACGAGTCGCAGTGGGAGAAACCAGACATGTTCTACCCTGAGCACTTTCTCGATGCCAATGGGAAATTTGTGAAGAAAGATGCTTTCATGCCCTTTTCAGCAGGTGCTTCCTCTTTTCCATTTACTGTCATTGCAAGTAACTACTTTTTGCAAGGGCTACTTGCACCTTTTGCTACTGAAGCCTGGCCTCCATATGATCTTTTTAATGGGGCCATTTCACACCCCATGTTTCACAGATTTCTGAGGGGACACCTGATAAGAGCAAGTACTCCCAAATGGCTGCTAATTCCTCCAGCCTTTGGATGTTATTGCTGTCTCAGTTAGCACTGAACAAATATAAATGAGAATTTGTGGTGCTTTTTTAAATATGAGGAAAGTTTTCAGCAAATTCCATGATGGTTTAGGCAACATATATCCGCATTATAATCTGTAGCCCACAACTTCTCAATGTCTTGGGTTTGAGTCTTACCACACCCAGTTGCACTGTCTATGACCACAAAAAGCACACAGCAAAGGTGGCTTCTATGTCTTTCCTGTTTCATTTTTCCATGTCCCCTTTAAAAAAGTCATGAATAATGTCAGCTGGCTCAAGATTTCATATACTGTGACAACAGGGAGGAGTTGTCATATAAAAACCCAAATTCTGTGTAAAATTAAAGAACAGAAAGGGGTTGCATTTTGAGGTTTTTTGAGGCTTTCCCAGAGTGTGACATACACCTGAGTTTAAAAGGCAGTTTAAAAGCTGCTGCAGTTCAACAGGACTGAGAAAAATTTATATTTACAGCACTTTTGAATATCCATAGAATATGCCCCCCACCTTCCCTCTCAGTCCCACTATGGCCAGCATTTGTGAGTTTCCAAGGAATTTTCTGACAAATTTTAATATAAAAAATTGCCTATATATAGACTAACAGAGCCAAAGTCTAGACTCAACCAGTTGGTCTGGAATTCAAAAATTGGGACAAGTAGACAAAAAAATCTGAAAATGAAGAAAAAAATTCAGATTTTATTGAAAACTAGAATTAAGGAATTCAGATTGCATTTCCATACATTTCTCCCCAAAATGCAAGCATTTAGACAAAGGAAAACTAAAAAAAACACCACCAGTTGGCTTTGTTATCATACTTCTGAAGATCACTTCTTTACTCAACAGACCTTTAAAAGCTGCTAAGTTCTTCATTCATAGCTGGGATAGGACATTTCAGGTGTTCTGGACTCCCAGTGACCTTTCTCCAAATAAGAGATGCTTAAGGTTTTTCTTTTCTTCCAACTATTGAAGAAGCAGCTCCCACTGACTCTTATTTTATTCCAGGGAGGAGGATCTGTGCTGGGGAGACTTTGGCCAAAATGGAGCTCTTCCTCTTCTTCACCAGCCTTCTGCAGAGGTTCAACTTCCTGCCTCCACCTGGAGTTTCCACCTCAGACCTGGACCTCAGCCCTGCTATTTCATTTAATATCATCCCCAAACCCTATAAAATGTGTGCTGTGACACGTTCCTAGAGCTCTAAGCAGCATTTATTTGTTTCAAAAATGTTCAAATTACTTTTCCATGACATCTGCCTTCCTAATCCTTTGACCAAAATAATTCACAACTTAATAAAGGTTTTCAGTACTTCTAAACCAAAGTGGTGTTCTTTTATTTTTTATTTTCTGTGGAAGGGCAGAAATAGACCAGAAATATGAACTAATGTATGGCTCATGTTAGATTACCTCATCTGGGCTAAATAATACAGACCCTCAGCTTTCTTATTCTTATTTCAGTTTTCACTGTTTGTTGAAAGTATATCCCAAAAAACACTCCCAAGTGCAGGCTTCTCCAAAGAGACATATGGACCATGAAGCTGTGCCTGGCCTGTACTATTGCACTTAAAGATAAGCACTGCAGAGCCTCTGTGGTGAATGTCTTTAGAACAGAAGGGCTTGTTCAGTCAGATGGGTTTGAAGCTGGGTTGGGTATCCTGTTCCCCAACGCCTCATTGCAGTTTCTTCCCTTGGCTCTTCTCCCTACTCCTTCCACTGCCATGTGCAAAGAAATCAGAGTTCTGTACCTGTTATAGGGACCCTCTGGACTCAGGTCAACTTGGCTTAAGGTTTTTCCTGAGAAGTGATTTGCTATAACAAATCACTTTGCTTATCCTGTAAATGGATAAGCTCAGAAAAACAAAGTGTACACCTGCAGAAAATGGCTGGTGATTTTGTAATGAACTCTCTAAGGGGCTGTTAAACATTGCATAAACATTGTGTGCAAATTCTAGCTGACAGAGGGCTCCCACCTCCTGGCAACTGTAAAAGGAAGTTAAAATTGACTGAGAGCCAAAGTAGCCTTGGGCTGATTCTGCTTCAAGCCTGTGCAACTGCTCTGCCCCTGAGGGCAGCGTGGGAGTTGGGTGGTGCTCTTGGTTCAGGTCCAGCATCCTCAGGTGCCACCCAGACACATCAGGGCTCATGGCCCAAGTGCTGGGGACATGAACAGCATTGTATACTAAGTGATCCCTATGGAGTGCGTAGGGGACCCTTCCCTCACCGACCACGACAAGGTCACCTCTTTCCTGACTCTTCTATTGACTGAGAAAAATGGAAAGTTTCTGGAATAGTTCAAAGCCTTTACACATCAGTGGAAACGTGTCCATCACAGATCAGAAGTGACTCTCCCAGACGTGACCTTATTTTCCTTCCTCCTGTCCCACCATACAGTCAAGTATTTCTGGTGGTGCTCTGCCTAAACCTCAACCCAGATGTAGAATGACAGGTATTAAACAAAACTCCACCTAAAAGGAGGAAAACTTCAAGTATTACATAACTTGTTCTCCTTACTGTAGATGCCCTTTTATCACATCACCACAGAATTTCTGATTTATCTCAAAAATACTTTTGACAATGAAAAGAGATCATCTCAGTTATGAATAATCCCTATTGTTTGGGATTAATATACAAAGCATGAAAATAAGCAGCTATGGAGAGGCACAAGATCATGGATGACTCTGTGAGGATCCATAGCAAGGACATCAAAATGTCTCTGCTGGGATCAAGCCTGCTCCAGTACTGAGTCTGCAGATCCCAAAAATCAAAAAGTTGACAGCCTTGTCTGAACTGACTCTGCTCTTTCCTCCAGAACCTCTATTTGCTGAGGCAGTCTGAAATTCTGCCTTTCACATGGCACGGCCCTGTGTTGCATGATCACCTCAGGCTCTTCGCTGAGGTGTCTCTGTTTATCAGGTGGTTAATTTCTGTCTCCAAACCAAACAGTCACCAGATTTAGTTACCTGGAAATTATTCTCCTTCTCATTAGATGTAGGATCTCCACAGCTTCCGTAAAAATGGTCTAATTAGGCTGAATAAGAATCTAGAAGTAGACATCTGGTCCTATTGAAGGCAATAGCAGAATTACCAAATCCAATTACCTGGATTTGAAAAACACAGTGATGTTGATAAATTCAGTTTTCCTAAATACTAGGCTGCCTTGAATCCAAACTGGCCTTTGATCCATTTCCCAAAATTCTCGCTTTTCTATGGGCTTGCAAAAAATCTCCATTGTGTGCCAATAGCTCCCTCCTGCTGGGATTCCCTGCTTTACTTAAAAAAAAAAAAAAATCAGTTTTTAAAAATTTATAAAGCAGAATCATGGCTTGGTTTTCCAAAAACGAATCTTCCAGCCCTGTATGAGTGACTCAGGTGCACATACTGTCTTTCAGATGGCACTGCACATACAAATGCCATTCTTATATTTAACGTACTATAAACCTTAGAAATATAAAATATTAATGGAATATTTGACTATTAGGGAAATTAAATGTGTCAATCCATCTTTCTGCCCTCCTTCAGAGCCTTTCTGTAGGCTCTGTTCTCTGAAGTCCTTTCCCTGAATTTCATGATTCGTTGTCTCAGGTAGAGAGACAAGGCTCACCTTGTTTTTCCAACAGACCAACACTGCAAATCTTCTTTCCCTTTCCCCCCATGGTTTGTCTCTCTGTTTCCATCTTTGTTTCGCAGACAAATTCAGGAATATACCTGCAGAGCTTCACAGGTTCCCTTTCCAACACTTGGACTCATTGTTCTTTGTCCATCCTCCACCCTCTGCTCTCCTTCCTTTGCCAGGCAGGACTGGTAAAACTGGTTCCCACTTAGGTTTTAGATAATCTCCTTTTCAAAAAGAGATTCCTTTTATTCTGAACAGAATTTCTGTGAGGTGCCCTTTCAGTTCAGAATGTAAACACAAGCTTTAGGCCAAATCTTAATAGCTCCCATTAAGTATTTAACTGAGGACTGTGAGGAACCTTACCAGCAGTGCTGCAAGATTTTATCCAGCGTTGGCATGTTTAGCTCTACCACAAGTAGCAGATGGACAGATAGATTTGTCTTGAGCATAAAGGAGACTTGTTAAATAAGCATAAACAGACTTGTTGCTGTATTAGACATTAAAAGATTTCTTTATAAAGCTTTTTTTTTAGTTCAGACAGCTCCTTGCAGATTTCTCTGCTTAATTTCACAGATTAATCTCTTTTAGGCCACGTTAGGGAAAGGAGAGGCTTGAGGACTTATTCTAAGACAGGCAAATGGGGTTAGATATGTCCAAGGATCCTGCTGTGGATATTCTAGAAAATGGTTATACAGAAGAAATAATTCTTCAGTCAGAAGCAGCACAATTTCAACTGAATTACAGCAAAACTATTACACTTAGAACTATCGCCCAGTCATTTGGAATTGCCATGAGCACAGAAGTCATGAGCATTTAGTACCTTTGATTCTAGGATTACACAAGAAACTCTCCTATGATTTCTGATCTCACCCAAGTTATTAAATTCCACCAAAGTTCTCCAGCAGTGCAAAAAAGCTGATCTGAATGTAGGTTTGTGAGGTTTGCCTACAAGCGAGATTTGGCTGAAAAATGAAAAGGTGTATGAATCACCCTGAAAAATGAGCAGGGAAGGAACTGGGCATTCATGCTTTTCAGCAATTTTATTGATGGGATATTTGTCTCCAGGACATTACCCTGAGCTGGAAAGCCACACCTGTGCAATGTCTTAGCTAGAGTAGTAGCCACAAGCCTGCTGTAACCCTTCCTTCGATGCTCTGGCAGGGTGTAATTATGAATCATGGTGGCAAACTGGTCTGTCAGGCTCCAGGAGAGGGGATTCCCATGTTCGTCCAAGACACAGGCACTGGGGAAGCAGCAAATGAGGCCAGCAAGATACTTCTGGCACCTTGGGTTGCCTCCCCGTGACCAGGTTTTGCTGAGCAGGCTGGCATGGGAGACATCCAGTTGAGCCAAGGTCAATTTGGGGTCCATCCTAAGGGATAGCACAGAAACACTGTTAGGCACAAAGCTGTGCCCCTCATTCTCCAAGCAACTGGACTACATTTAAAGCTGCCTTCTCCAGCCAAATAGATTTCCAGGTCTGTATCAGAAAGGGGAATCAAAGCAAGCTGAGTTCATTAGGCTGGAGATTTAGAAATAATTGTAGAGGGCAGAACCTTTCCAGTTTGGGGGTTTGTTTTCTATAAGCTCCTGAATCCACTCAGCACACTCCAGAAGTGCTTTATTCCTTACAGAAAGTCTGGAGAATATCTTAAGGAAGGCAAGGAGACATTAGGTGGCACAAAGGAGTGGAAAGGATTTCATTTCCAGTCTTTCATCCTCCGAGACTGATAGATTCTTTCTGGGTTTCAAATACACAGCAGAGAAATTTTTTTATAGGAATAGTGAGGCCTCTGGTCCCCCTACTCTTCTGCTCTGATGTCAGACCAATATTTCACCAGCAGAGGGATGTTAGAAAACTTAGATTCAAGGAGTTGTGTAAAGCTTGCTCTGTGAAAAACAAATTTGGCAGGAATCCAAGATCCACCTATCAAATCTAAGAAGCTTTGACACAGGAAAGTCAAAGGACATAGAGAGCAGATCTATGGATCCCATGTACACACGAGGAGGAGGGGATGGGGAGTATCCTGAAATGTAAAAATGCAAGAGTGATTGACTAATTAAAGAAAAATCTTGATAAGTATTTAATAGTTCCTTCCTTACCAAGTAATTCCTCAGTCAGGTTTTTGAGACAGTCACAGAGAAAGCCTAACAGTCTTCCTGGTATTTTGGATGTAAATGTACTCTTAGGAAATACATCACTACAGTAATGACTTCAGTAAATGACATGGAGTGCTCAGACATACCGAAGTTTGACATCTGGCAGCATGTCCGGGTCTGGATGGATAACCATCTGGAAAGAGGATGTCTTCACATCTACTTGCTTGGATAAAGCCACAGTCCTGGATATTTCACATATTCCATCCTGGAGCCCTGTGTATACAAAGATAAATATTAAGGCACTTCACAAATAAAGTGGGTTTTTTTAAAAAAATTCTTTTTTTAAGTCTTGTCTGAGTTCAGCTTTCAAACACTGGCTCTCACTAAACCTCTAATGACACATTATTTACTGCTCAGCTCAGTCTGTATGTTGTCTACAGAATCCTATGGCCAGTAGCAAAATTAAACATCAATAAGCATCCCTTCCTGACAAGGAAATAAGTTCATCTATGTGAAAGCAGAACTTGAAATGGTAGCAGTGAATATGATATGGATGAAATTCAGAAAGCTAAAAAAATTCCATATCCTAGATCTTGATTTTTGCTTAAGTACAAAAAAACCCACCCTTTCTGTAGAGCAGAATGGTAAAGTTTATAGTCCATGAAAACTACCCATTCTGTTTACTCTGAACCAAGTAAAATTGGACTGCACCTTGAATCTGAAAAATTTGTCCCCAGTTGATGGCATTTGTGTTTTCCAGTAGTTCCCAGTAAGTCTCCAGTTCCTTGTAGAAAACTGCATAAGCACTGGTGTAATGGTCAAGGTCATCCATCTCAATCTGGGGGGAAAAATATGGAAGAATTACAAATTCTGCCCCTTCCCACACACAAATTTTTCACATTGGAATCAAAACTCACTAAAGGCCAACTCCAGAGATGTAAAAAATGTTATTTGGTTGCTAAGGTCTTCAGACCACACCCCTTCTGGAAAACAAACTATGTTCCCTGCCCCTGAAAGAGCTGAAATAGCACAGCCTGGCCTCATCAATACTATTGCACCCTCTTACTCTCCAAAACAGGTTGGAAAGACTCAAACTTCCAGCTGGGGATTGTTCACATCCTGTGCTGACTCCTTCATTGCTGGCTGTCCCAGAGACCTCGACAAGGATTTAGTTGTACCTCATATGAGCCTACAAGAACGAGGGATTGTTATCTGAGCCTAGAGTTGGGGAAGCATCCATGAATTTGTGCAGCACAGAGATTGCTTTATCACAGTGGATAGAGGGAGTTATGGCAATGCCCCCTCTGAAACCCTCTGTAGCACAGCCTGTAATGAACTACAGGAATGCAGAGGGACCCTTCTTTCACCTTGTAGCAGCATCTGCCCCACCATAAGGTCACTAAGGTTCTTTTTTTGTGTGTCTATCTGCACAAAGGTTGGAAAGACCAAAGAATCCTTGGAGAGGTTTGGTCAAGTGGCATGAGTGCAAGTAAAATGTGTCTCTGCGTAAACTCTGCAAGTTAATCTTCAATCAGTGTAATCAGGCTAATTACAATCAATTAGAGCGTGTATTTCATAACTAAGTTTGTTTATGTTAGAATTCCTAGGCAGAATGTCTCAGGAAAAAGCAGCACTCCCTATAATGTGCTTTGTGCTGGCACCCACTGGGATGTCCTATGGCACTGTATCGTTCCCACCTCCACATTACACACTTCCCAGATACAGCTGGCTCCATCCATAAAGCCCTCAGAAAGCTGGGAGGAAGGCTCCAGCCATGTTGGATCCACCTCTCGGAAAGAAAGATAAAAACCACCTCCATCTACCTCCCTCTGTGGCCGGGTGATAACAGCTCTGAAGTCCGGCCACGAGTCCACCACCACTTCTGTCCTGAAGGGGTTCCCTCGGCTGATGTTCATCACAGCTCCATAAACCTGCAGGAGGAAGAGCCAATAGAAGAAAGACAGTTTGAGACATGCTACCATGTGTTGTAAACCAGAGACTGAACCAGTGACACAGAGCTGAAAGCTTCACACACACACACACACACACATCTCATGTAACCCTTCAGGTGTGTAGGTTGAGACCAGTAAGGCACAATACCATGAAGATAAACCATTATCTAATTATGCCAACCCTAATCACTATGGAGAGGAGGTGGACCAATGTTCTTCTTTTCTTAAGAATGGGGACTTGGGTTAGTAATCAGGACCAAAGGATAAGACAGGCTGAGAGAGTTGGGGTTGTTAAGCCTGGAGAAGGGAAAGCTCTGGGAAGACCTTAGAGCACCTTCCAGTACCTAAAGGGGCTCTAAGAGAGCTGGAGAGGAACATTTTACAAGGGTCTGGAGTGACAGGACAAGGGGGAATGGTTTCAAACTGAAAGAGGGCAGATTTAGATTAGAGATTAGGAAGAAATTCTTCCCTGTGAGGGTGGGGAGGCCCTGGCACAGGTTGCCCAGAGAAGCTGTGGCTGCTCCTTTCCTGGAAGTGTTCAAGGCCAGGTGGGATGGGGTTTGGAGCAACCTGATCTAGAGGAAGGTGTCCCTGCCCATGCCAGGGCATTGGAACTGGATGAGCTTTAAGATCCCTTCTAAGACAAATCATTCCTTGATTCCATGATATCTCAGATGCAGTTATCTAAACAGCAACTATCAGTCAGTCCAGAGGAAGCATAACCCTTTCCCAACAGTTTTGATTCCCTGACAAACAACCAAAATCACTGATGGAAATACCACAGAAAATGCAGGTCAGTGCTGTGTTACCTTAAGGGACTCAGGAAAACTCTTCCTTAACATTTTCTCAAGCATCTGCAGCTTCCTGGAGCAGTTAAGTACCAGCATCTCTCTTGCTGGGAACACATAGAAAATATAAAGATTCACTCAGAAAAAGAGATAATGTGAAGGAACTGAGTGGCATAATTGCTAATTTCATAAAATACAGTATCTCTCACAAGTGTCTTGCTTCAGAATGTACCTGTGTAAAACAAACAAAATAACTTCCAAAACCAAAAAGTTTCTGAGAAGCCAAAAAAAAAAAAAAAAAAAAAAAAAAAAAAGACTAACTTCACTTAAAAAGTCTAAGGGAAGAATTCAAATCCTAAGGTTTCTCAGAGGTAGCACAATGTTCATTCTTTCTTTTACCTCTTAAATGTGCACCATTTAATCTTAAAAGCATTTCCCTTTGCTGCATTTTGTTATAAATATTAACATACCTTAAGAATTACTGCAGTCATCAAGTATCCACCTTCTTAGTAAGGAACATGTTATGAACAGCCACCCCTCAGGATCACAGATCAGCAACCTCATCTAGTGGAAGGTGTCCCTGCCCATGGCAGGAGGTTGGAACCAGTTGAGATTTAATGTCTTTTCCAACTCAAACTCTGTGATTACATGTAGGTATTTACCTTCCTTGAAGCTTATATTCCATTTTCTCATCATATTCAATGGAAAAACTGTCTCTGGGTCACTGCATCACTGTACGTGCAACTGTATCTAAAGGCAGCATTGGTACATGTTTGAATACACAGCTACTTTTACTTAAGGACAGTTCTAAGACCTTTATGCCTGGAAATACTTTGATTTGGAAAAAAGATTGATATGTATAGCCCACTTGATCACTTACCTGCTTTGAATCTTGGGGCTCGCCCTTCCGAAGTGTAACAATAACTTGAAGTGAGGAGACTATAAAATACATCCACTTTGTGGCTGCTTCTGCACAGGGAATGATGAGAGTCCTCGTTCAGAATCTCAAACCTATAAATTTATTGATCCAAGTTGTTCTAAATTGGTATACTGTTCCTAGCAGCTTTGTTCTGTCTTTTTTGGGGAGAGCATGGAAATAAAAGCCAGAGCCAGCCATACCTTCAGAGGAGGAGGGACTCTGTAAGAAAAGTGACACAGGGCTTGTTCAGGAGCATACGTTCCAGAAAGAACTTTTAATTTTTTCATGAAGACATTTAATCTCTTTGCATTCATACCAGTGAATGGTATGCTTTGCACACACTTATAATGATCTCTTTTCTTCTCAGTGGGAGGGAAATTAGTCGGTTCTCATTCTCAGTGCCAAGGTTCTTACCATGAGGTAAACTGAGACCAGAGAAACCCAACCCAGCTCAGTGGCCCCAAACACCACTGTGAGGTGGCAGCCCTGTTCCCCTTTTGCCTGAGTTTTCAGCTGTCCCTGTCAGTCCAGTTTGATGATGTTAACCCATCCTGTCCTCTGGATTTGGACTGGATAACCTACAAACAAGGCAGAAGAGTCAATACAGAAAGAATGTCGAAATGTTACACAAGAGGACATGCAGATGTTTTGCTTGAACATAAGAAAGGGTTGATATGGGATACAGATGAATGTTACTGATATATCTTAAGAAATCTGTAGCTTATAACTTACTGCTTGAAGCCAAGGCTTGTGAAAGTGAAGTTTCAGATGCTCCCAGGTCATATCACACAAGTTCACAGCTCCACACAGACTGATCAACAGTGAACCTGCTCCTAGAGGGGTCTTCTAATATCATCAAAGCCACAATCTGACCATTCTGCACTGAATAAAGTGTATCCAACATCAAGTAAGTTGAGCTAAGACCACTTCCTAAATGTCTGGATTTATGTTCCTGGTTTATGTTTTTCTGCTTATGTGTGCATGACAGCCCCAAGATAACAACATCCTAAGAACAGCCAGCCTATCACAAATCACCTAGTCTCAGGAAAAAAATAAAATTAAAATAGTTAATTAAAAAAATTAACGTGTACCTATCTATCCCTGTAATGCAGAAGCTCCTTCTTCAATTACTGCTATTTCAGCTTTCCTTGTGTGGAAGCTGTATCTGACTCCTACTTACTGCCCTCTTCCACACTTTCTTTTGAAAGTATTAAAAAAAAAAAAAAATGAAAAGGTATCCATTGGTTCAGGCAGTTCAAAACCCACATAGTCATTTGCTCACAAGTAAATCACCCTTAATGAAACAAAGCAAAAACTAAGATGCTGGCATGCAGGAAAATCATGGGTTAAAGTACTTTTGGGTAAAGTCAGTAAATGCTCCCCTTGTCAAGTGATCAAAAATTTGAGAAATATTTTTAAATAATTATGCATGGGAAAACAGATTTTTTAACTTCATTTTCATCCTCTGAAGCCAAAAGGTATTTGACAGTTAATGAAATACAAGGTAAATACCAACTCTGAGATCAGAGCTTAGCTCTATAACGTTCTCAAGTAGTTTCCCCAAGCACCTGGATAAATCAGGTGGGGTTATTTTTTAGCAGTGAACATGCAAGTGCAAAAAAATCCTGTACAGTTGATAAAAATGATTCAGTTTCCTGCCATGGAGGGCGTTTTATTAAAAGGAAAAAAAAAAAAAGTAGAAAAATCGAACAGGGCATTTACAACTGAGTATTAGAAAATCATAATTTTACTAGGTGGTTCAGGTTTAAAGAGGATTTAACTCTTACTTGGTAAGAGATTCTGCCTTCAGTGATCTACAGATGTAGATACAGAAGTGCAAATATAATGGAATAGTTGCCTAATTCTATAAAAATGCCCAAATAACCCAGGATCCATTTCCCTCCCTTCTCCTAAGACAGGATATATAAACATTAGAAGTCATCACAAGTCAAAACCCAAAAGAATCCTTGATAGTTGACATAAATCACTGGAGTCCCAAGAGGTATCTACAGATTTATATACCAATATTCATAGAAAATGTTTTAAGGGAAATTCAGCAGTCACAACAGCAAAGTCATTAGAAAGAAAACAGTTTCCATACTGAGCATCCTGCTGCTCTACATTAACACAGAGTGCTGGCCGACATTATCTCCTTCAAAGGAGACTCCACACATTTCATCTTCTCAAAGCAAGTCCACCTTCTCATAGGTCTTTTCAATGAGGGTTAACAAGTTCTTCAAGTCAGCTGACTGCTGAATAGTGTTCAAATCCTTTAAAAGACCTTTCTGATTCTTTGTCTTCAAAATTTCTTCCTAAAGAAGGGAAAAATGATGGACAACAAATAAAAACCGCTTTTGTCAAGTGCAACAGGAATTCCCCTTTCATGCAGCCCAGCTGTAGCCAAAATAAGATAAAAAAAGATTCAAAAAGACAAAGAGTAAGTCTTCCCTTCAACAGTTATAGATATGTTTCAGGTATGATTACAGTTTCCCTAGGACCACAGGTTTTTCTAGGAAGAGACAAGTGATCCTTTCAATCAGAGAGTGATTTAGCTTAGAAGGAACCTTAAAGATCATCCAGTTCTAAGGCCCCTGCCAATGACAGGGACACCTTCCACTAGACCAGGTTGCTCAGGTCCCGTCCAACCCAGCCTTGAACACTTTTAGGGATGGAGAGAGTTTCCAGGGTTTTTTTCTCTTTTTAAAACATAAGTACATAGTTCCCAATGAAAAGAAACAAGAAAAAAAGGAAAAAGAAAATCTCTCCAATTTTTCTGAATTTTCAGAATTGCCCCCTCTGACAGAAGATGTGATAAAAGCACATTCTGTTGCCTTCCTTCTCATAACCAAAGTATTACATATATATATATTTATATAAATAACAGTTATCTATATGTATATAAATATATTATATATTCCACACTCACCTGCAAAGTAGGTGCCTGCAAACTGTGCTTGGGGAGTTCTGGAAGGTGGAGTGCACCACTGCCATTTTCCTGGAATACCTAGGAAGGGAAAAAGAAGAAATAATCCAAAAAAACCCAAACATCAGGCTCCCCAGCAGGAAAATAACCTGGCTGTCATTATCCAACTTCTGAAAACTAAACTTCTTAATTCTGCAACTAAAGTTGGCAAAATTGAAAAGAGTCATTCCCAAAGGCAAACGAGGCCTTCCTTAAATGACATTCCCTGAGAAACAGCTTGTTTAGGACAGCTCTGGAAGTTAGCCCATTCCTATAGGTTAGGGTACAGAAGTATTTATTGGAGATACCTTCCTGGCCTCTTTTTCATCTTCCTCTAACTGGTTCTTCAGCAGCTGGATTTTGTACTGCAGTTGCTGCACAGTTTCCTCAATGCGCTCTGCTGATCGCTCAGCTTCAGTTATTTCTTCCTAAAACAAAACAGACACAAAACCAGAATAAAATTTACTTCGACGGTGAGGAGCCTTTTGTACAGAACCATCCAGACAGAAACACTGCTGTGCAGCAAAGGTGGGTGATGATGAGGAGTGGACACTCCTCCACAAGAGCATAGGCACAGCCAGCTCTCTCTCTGCTAAAAGGTTACAACACACACTGAGCAGCAGCAGCTGGGTAAGGTAATTCCTTCCCTTTCTTGCCTTTCATACCTGCAGTTGTGCCAAAGATTCCTCATTTGCCTCAAGCATTTGTCTCTCTGCCATTTGAAGGCTTGGGATATTCTTCAGGCTGTCCAGCTTCCCTGGAGGCACTTTTACAGTCTTGAAAACTCTCAGCACCCTTAAGTGTAGAAAAAGGAAAACATGACTTGTTTGGAGTTCTTTGCAAAACTCGAAGTGACTAATTCCTTCTCTGGGGAAAAACTAAACTCAGTTTAGCCCAATTGCTGCCAGTGAAGGCTCCAGACAGGAAGGAAAGCTGTCTTGAACTGTTTTCCAAAATCATGTGGAATAGATGTCTATCTAAAGAAGGAACCAGGAACAAGAAATCCCACCATTCTCTCCTTTGCTACTGCACTGACCTTGTGTGATTTCCATCCCACTGGCCTTTACACTCCCTGATTATAAACTATTCTGACCCTTCTGCTTTTCAAAGTAAAACTAAGTTCTAAAATCAGCATTTTAGCTGCTTCCAAACAATCATCATTTTAGTAAAACCTGAACATGATATAGGATGTATAGCTTTTTGTCAGAGGGAAAGTTTAGCTTGTCCTCAAAGCATGGTACAAAATAACTGGGTTAAAGAAATCTCTTCTCTCACTCTTTTCTTTTAATTTATAATTTCTTACCTTTTTTTCAGTACATTGAGGTGCTTCTGAACATCATCTTTCTCCTTCCTCTGTTGGTACAAAACAGATCTGGAAAGAAAATAAAGGCAGAATTCCCATCACAAAGCCTGCAAGCACAGAGAACACATCAAATGAAGTGCACACAGTCAGAACTTCTCTAGGTAAAAATTTCCAATTTCAGATAGAAAGTGTTATATTATATTGCATAAAATATAGACAGACAGCCATATTGCCCAGAAAAGCTCCAAAGCATTTCCAGTTCAAGCAATACTACAATTTTTACTTTATTCCTTGTAGAAACAAAGAAGAACCACCAGGATATTTGGCACTTACAGTACTGCTGAATCCACTACAGTTTCCAGAAACTGTCTACTGCTCTCTGAGAGAGTCTGCCAAGATCCTATTGTAGCACTGGAAAGCTTCACTTTTTTTGAAGAAACATTTTCTCCTGTTAACACAAAGGAAGAAAAGGAAAAAATATGATTTGTCAAACCTGGACAGATGGTTTTGTGACTCATTTCAGTCAGATGGGAGTCAAAGGTGTAACAGTTCAGATTTAACAGAAAAGAACAAGGTCCTACCTCCAGGGGAATAGTTTCTCTGATCCTTAACTGTCCTTTTCACTGTCTCAGTGACCTGCTGAAGAGAAAAATTTGTAGCAAATGTGGCAATTTCGAAACATCCTCTGCTGTGCCATCATCCATCCACTACCATCAACACACTGTGTTAGTGCCTGACAGAAGCCTTTGACACTGACCACTAAAAAACCACCTTTTTTGAACTGTGCAACAGTAATTCATGCCAAACAGGCTAAGGAAAAAAAATTCACTCTTCCCAATTCCTCCCATTCCAAGAATGAGATCATGAAATAAATGCACAGGATGTTTGTCTGTTCAGCAGCATCTTGAGATCATGCTGTTCATCAGTTCAGTGGCTGGGCAAGAGACCTTGTTGGAGAATCCTGTCCTGAGACAGGCAGAGAATATCTTCCAAAGGTGAATAAACTGAGCTGAATGAACTCTGACCTGATCACTCTGCTCAATCAGATGCTGTTCAGCAGCTCTTCACAACTGCACAGCCAGTTTACCTTTTTGCTCATGATCAGGCAATGCTTCCCTCTACTTGTGACAGGTACAGTAGCACCCAACTAGGAATTCTGGAAACCAGGAAGCAGTCAAGGCCACTCAAAAGAGCTGTTCACACTGGGCATTTCCTTGAGTTACATTTAATTACTTAATTGTTCTCTAGAAATTTCAGTTTAAAAATGGGCAAAAACACCTCTTCCCCCCCCCCTCCCCCCCCCCCTTTGGTTACTTCTCTACTTTGATCCAAAATAATGAATACCTGTCTTTTTTGACCTTGTTTTCTTCCTTCTCCATCTGTTCCTTTTTTTTTGCTGGAAGGCCTCAGTTTGTGTTGAGACTTAAAAGGGTTTTTTGCTGATCTCCCACCAGGGGTCTCCCCCATTTTAGTGGAAGGTTTGTGGCGGGGTTTCATTATCTGTAAACCAACGGGAACAGAAGGAAAAGACAAAATTAAAATCTAGCAATTACGAGCCTAAACGAGCACAAATGTTGGCATATTTGCTAATCTAAAGCCTAAATCTTGTATATTTACCTGAGTGCAGGACTCCTAAAAAAGCATACCCATCTGCCTTTTAGACAAACTCTTACTTGTTTCACATCTGTTTCTAAAGTCAAAAGGCAGCATGACGGGTATGTCAAAGAGCAGCAATGGCAAAGCAACAGAACTGACGTGAGAAAAGCCTAATTTGTTCTTAAAGGTTTCCATCAGTAGAAAATTCCCTGCTCTCAAAAGACCCTACTTGTAACACTGTGTCCAGCTCTGGGGCCCCTAAAATAAGAAGGATGTGGAGCTGCTGGAGCAAGTCCAGGGGATGCCACGGAGATACTCTGAGGGCTGGAGCACCTCTGCTGTGGAGACAGGCTGGGA